ATTCGCTTTCACTCCTTGTAGAGTTCAAGGTAAGCCTAAGGTAGCCTGTTTCTGTATTGTAATATTTTTTTATGTACATATTGAAATTCTGGCGGTGCTCCTATCTTAAATTCGAAACCCGTGATTTCATTTGTATTTTAGAATAAGCTTACTTCAAGTAAAAAATTCAAATTGCTTTATCTTTTAATTATGTTGTTCTTCACAATACATTTCGTCATTCTATGCAGTTCGACCAGAGTGAAAATTTCTTCATAAATTTAAAATTTAAGTGACGGATATTAGACAAATTACCATCCAAGAGTCTGCGTAGATCTACTTTTTGCGAGAGAGATTTACTCTCCAATCATGCCAAACACAAGCCATGTCAAGCAGGCATAGTGGCTGGTGATGTACGTATAAGTTCATTTTTCTTCTAGAAACGAGATATGTGAACAATTGGAATCAAAACTTGAAATAAATATTAATTGTACCTGTCAACAAGCGTTTTGAATATTTCTGCATTGCTAGTGAAATGAACACAAACAATTGCCAAGATAGGAATAAAATACTGTGATTTCCGTTTCCAAAAAAGAAAACATTGTTATTTTTACTGTCCACATTACAATCTGCAATACCCTTTTTATTTTGTATTGCATCAAGCTGAGGGGACTCCCGGCGATAGTTGACTCAAGGTACAATTGTACCAGGCGGGAGGTATAGCATTTTAGACATTCATTGCTAATTTGTCCACGAGAAGTGATGTAATGGGTCTACTTTATGAAACTGAAGGGGTTTCAAGATGGAAGCTACATGTATATAAAAGGATATAACCTTTTCTGTGTGTAGATATTGACTACGAAGAGTCGTTTTGACCTTCCTGAGACATCAGCTCGTCAATCCTCTAAGCTCAAAGGGAGTTTATAACTTCCAGCTGGCTAGAAAGCGAGCCTTAATTTGTGAGTGAATATTGTGAACAAAACTATGAGAGAACCTCCTGGCACTCTCGGGCTAACACTATATCAGCAAAATTATGAATCAATCATAACAAAACAAACCAAAACAAAACAATTGGAAATATAAGTAGGACAACTTATAAGTCCATAGTATCCAACCAAAACTTTCTTGTGACAAACAATAAGAAACGCAGTTACAAAGCTGGATATGAACAAAATTATCTACGGTAACGCAAACATCCCGGAGGTCAATGCAAGGTGTTCCGGGTAATTTGTAAAGACCACAGGTGTTAGGAGGAAATTTTTCAATTATTTTAGTTTTCGGAGTGGGATAAACGTTTAAATTGTAACGAACAACATCCTGTATTTATTGTACTTCAAGGGCAGAATTATTTTGACTTTTTTCATGACCGTGTAGCTGGTCAAAGGAGTCCTCTTCATTTTGTAAGCAATGTATCCACGACTTCTTCATAAGTTTGCTTCGATTATAATATAGTTTGTGCGCGGCAATGGAATATTTAGTTTATTCTCAGCATCCCTGAGGTTATATGCGGTTTCGCGCCTCTCGGACCTTATGGACCTCAACTCCTATTAGGAAACATCTCCCGGCACTCGTTCGCAATCAAAAGACTGTATCTTTCGATGGATGCGTTTATTTCTCTTCCAATCTCGTTCACAATGTTGAAACTCATGAAAACCTCCTGTCCTCGAGATTGACATTCATCTCTAAACTAATCGTGACCTTGATGGATACTTTCCCGGGCATTTCGAAACATTGCACTGAATACACTGGTTATATATAAAAAGTCATTGATATTTCAAATTGCCATAAATTACGAAGGTAAGTGTCTGGGGGGAAAACTTCCGGACACTGCAGGTGATAACAACGTGCAAATGATCGATAGAAGGTTCCTGTCTTGGCTTCCCACTCAGTCAACAAACCGTTTGGATCTTGACATGGAAAATGTTCGCTAAAAATGAAAAACTAGCAACCAGCAACCTCAACAAAAGACAAATAACCAAGTTACACCCCCCCCCCCTTCCCCAATGGAAGGCGTAATTCTGCAGCAATCAAAAAAGGCGAAGAAGAAAAGTAGGGACTCATAATCTGTTTTCTAGACTGAGTCCTACTAATGAAGCAAAAACAATGAGCGATCAAAAAACAGGTGGCTTCAGAAACAGGTGGCAAACAAATATATAATGAGTTCAGCAGAGAATAAAACACCAGTAGGTTTTCTTGAATATGAAAGTTTATCAGGCGCATATTGTATCACACAAAAAGTAGTATTGAAATAAATATCATTTACACGGCTTAAGACGGCTGAAAATGTCCCATGAAGTTAAGAAAATTACAAATCGAGCTTACAGAATAACTACGAAATACTGGCAAAGTCAGTGTCCAAAGAATGGTTTAAAGCCGTTCTGCAAAGTTTCTTTCAGCCATAGTTTACATTTAATCAAATAAAAAGCAGTTTTGAATTTAGGTTTTTACGAGTTTTAGGTCGACTGAAAATCACCAATGTACATAAGCATCATCAGCTACGGCGGAAGTCAAAATAATTTATTTCAGTTAACGAGAGCCTTAAGTTCTTTACGATAATTTCAGCTGAAAATAAAACAGATAAAAGGATTTATGGCACAATTTACCAGAGCCATGAAATTGACAATATAAAAAAAAATATCGGAAGGCACAATTCGACCATATGATGGTGTCCGTAAACGAGACGAGAATAATCCAAATAGCGAGAGGAAGCCAGCACATTGCAAACCCTAACACTATAGCAATGGCCATCTTTAACACGTTTCGCTCCCTTTGTTGGCGTTGTTGTCCAGCGTTGGCTGATTGCTCGCCTGGYATCTTCTGTGACTTGAGCTTTAGATAGATGATAATGTAAAGTATGGCTATCAACACCAACGGGATAAACATGAATACAACTGTAAAAGACAAGAGGTAATTCTCATGAGATGAGGACTCTCCAAACACTTCATTCCAACGCCGCTTACAAACCAGTTTTTCTGGATATTTAACAAGTTTGTAAACTAAGAGCTTTGGGGAGTTAACAGCTATCGCGACGATCCAAGATGCGATAATGAAGAACGGGCACGTCTTTGAACTGATGAGTGGAGAACGGAGAGGATATACCAGGGCACCAAATCGAGCCACTACTATCAGAAGCAGGCTTTGAATAGACAGAAGAACGGAAACATCTTTGAAGAAGGAAACCAGCTTGCATAAGGCCTGGCCAAGAGAACCACCGATCAGCCAGGAGTCTATATAGAGCTTTTGTATTCCACTAGGGATCCAAATAATCGGAACCAGCAGATCGGACATGGCCGTGTTGACAATGAAAAAGTTGATGGGTTTTCTCATGGTTTGCGTCTTGTAGACAATTATTCCGATGATGGCGTTCCCAGCCAAAGAAACAATGAAAATCAGGCAGTAAGCAAAGGCCATTCCAATTTTTTCTGCTTTTGGATTAAGGTAGTTAGATGGCTGTGCTTCATTCATAGTTGAATTTACATTGTCCGACATCGCCGTTCGGTTTCTTTTTCCGCTCCGGATGTACTTAATTCTGCTCACTTGGTAAAGTCACTCTGTTTACATGTTGTAGCGAAGGCGGGATAACTCTTCGGCTGGATGCCGTCATTCGCGCGAAAAGATTGACAGATGAGAAATGCTTAATGATTGCAGATGTTTGTTCCAGTTGTCCCCCTCCTATTTGCACCAATAGTTAGATTTTCCTGTTTCGTGAGTAGTGGCCTATCAGCTTGCACCACAAACTGGTTTTCATTTCACATCTTAACGTCAATAATGAGAATGGAGGCAAATTAACAATGTCCTAGAATGTCATTGCTGCGTCAAATGAAGTAGCGATAGCCGGCTGGATTGGTTTCAGCTCTGTTCGAAGAATGATAAATTATCGTTAAATTTTCGTCACACAGAAATTTAACGATCAAAAAAATCAGGGCTTCAGGGAAGATATGAACTCAATTAATTGACCTCGCTCCCAATGTGTGGCTTCATAGCTCAGTTCGTAGAGCATCGCAGCGGTATCGCGGAGGTCACGGGTTCGAATCCCATTGGAGCCCTGATTTTTTTCAGGCTTCTTCTTTCCAATTGCATAAATTGGAAAATTTACTGCGATGATCATTCTTCTCCTCACGGGAAGATTTGAACTCAATTAATTGACCTCGCTCCCAATGTGTGGCTTCATAGCCCAGTTGGTAGAGTATCGCACCGGTATCGCGGAGGTCACGGGTTCGAATCCCGTTGAAACCCTGATTTTTTTTTAGGCTTCTTCTTTCCAATTGCACAAATTGGAAAATTTACTGCGATGATCATTCTTCACTTTCATCTATTGCCGCAGTTCAAATATGAATTATTTCATATATGAAATTAGATAATTTATTAGATTTTTACACAAAGTTAACTGAGCAGCATCTACAGACGTAAACTTATTGGCTGGGCCTTGATGAAACATCAAGCGTTGTTTGCAATTATGGTAAAAATCAAACTTGCAATTATTTTTTTACTTTTCGGTCGCGATAGACTCTGACGAATTCCTCGCAAGCGTGTGGCAAGAGGAGCTAAGAAACTTTGAAGTCCTGAAACTCTGCTATATCCAAATACACTCCAACTAGTTTTTTTGCTGTGTGATAAAAAAGCTGTTAATCTTCAACATATGTAAAATTTAAAGTGGAGTAATGTACATCTCATGTAAAAGAAGCATCGGGACACAACTTGGTCAGTGGTATAAGCTTAAAGCGGGACATACCCAAATTCGACACTGTCTTACTTCACTCAAGCTGGAGTAGCTCACGACGAAAATACTTAAAAAAATTCTAACTGACATAAATGCGTTGAGTTGCTTAATAATATTCATTTACTTTATTGCTTGCTAATCATTACGAAAATAAATAGTTCAAGAAATAACTTCAAATGATGGAAAAGGAATCGTCAAAAGAATGGTTAGAAACCGGTTTGCGAAGTTTATCAAGCGGACATTGAATCGCACAAAAAGCGTTATTGAAATAAATGCTATTTACACGGTTTAAGACGGCTGCAAACGTCCCATGAATTTAAGAAAATTACAAATCGAGCTTGCAGAATAACTACAAAATGCTGGCAAAGTCGCCGCGATCCAAGAAAATTTTGATGTGTCGCTTTGTCAGATTTGTTAATGAACATTTACGCGCGGTTTATTTAACAAATTGACGTCAGTTTTTCATGTGTCTGTCCTGTTATTAATCATGAATCTCGTCATAACATTGTCAAAGTAGCTGTGGATCCGCAGACTACCTTGACAATGTTATGACGAAATTCATTGTCAATAACAGGACGGACGCATTAAAAACTGACTTCAATTTGTTTTTTGCGATAACAGTTCGCTCTCACTCGTTGACACATCGCATAAATCATAAACTCATGTGTCTGTCGACTTATTGACAGTAAAACATAGCTAAAGAGCGCGCGTGATATTCTGCAGTAATCGTAAAACGCGCTTTTGACTTCATGTAAGCCGGACGAGATTCAAGAGAGTCTCAATGTTATAAAAGAAATGGTAAACATGCAGTGTGCAACTATCGAGTTATGGATGCTCATGGGAGGTTTGCTAAGCACTCAAGAGGCTAGAGTCGCACTCGGCTATCGCCTCTTGCGACTCTTACGCTTCTGTCGTGCTTAGCAACCTCCCGCGTGCATCAATAACTCGATAGTTGCAAGGTGCAAGCCTACCATTTCTTAATCTGCAAAGTTTCTTTAAGCCAATAGTTAACATTTAATTAAGGCAGTTTTGAATTAAGGTTTTCACGAGTGTTAGGTCGACTGAACCTCTCTACTATACATAAGTATCTTCAGCGACGGCGGAAGTCAAAATAATTCATCTAACGAGAGCCTTAAGTTCTTTACGATAATTTCTGCTGAAAATAAAACAGATGAAAGGATTTATGGCACAATTTACCAGAGCCATGAAATTGACAATATAGAAAGAGTATCGGAAGGCACAATTCGGCCATATGATGGTGTCCGTAAACATGAGGAGAATAAGCCAGATAGCAAGGGGAAGCCAGCACATTACAAACCCTAACACTATAGCAACGGCCATCTTTAACACATTTCGCTCCCTTTGCTGGCGTTGTTGTCCAGCGTTGGCTGATTGCTCGCCTGGAATCTTCTGTGACTTGAGCTTTAGATATATGATAATGTAAAGTATGGCTAGCAACACCAATGGGATAAACATGAATACAACTGTAAAAGACAAGAGGTAATTCTTGCGAGCCGGTGATGAGGATTCTCCAAAAACTTCATTCCAACGCCGCTTACAAACCAGTTTTTCTGGATATTCAACAAGTTTGAATATTAAGAGCTTTGGGGAGTTAACAGCTATAGCGACGATCCAAGAGGCGATAATGAAGAACGGGCACAACTTTGAAGAGATGAGTGGAGAACGGAGAGGAAATACCACAGCACCAAATCGATCCACTGCTATCAGAACCAGGTTTTGAATAGACACAAGAAAGGAAACACCTATCAAGAAGTAAACCAGCTTACATAAGGCCTGGCCAAGAGGACCATCGATCAGCCAGGAGTCTATATACAGTACTTGTATAAGCTGAGGAATCTTGAATATCGGTAACCTGATATCGGACATGGCCATGTTTACAATGAAAAAGTTGATGGGTTTTCTCATGGTCTGCGTCTTGAAGACAATTATTCCGATGACGGTGTTCCCAGCCAGCGAAACAAGAAAAATCAGACAGTAAGCAAAGATCGATCCAATTTTTTCTGCTGTAGAATTGCTGGGGCATCTCGATGACTGCATTGTATTCATCGTTGTATTCACTTTGTCCGACATTGCCGTTCAGTTTCTTCTAGCTGATTTGCTCACTTAGTAACATAACTCTATTAATATGTTCTAGCGAAGGCGGGATATATCTTCTTCTTTATGCCGTCTTTCGCGCGAAAAGAATGACTGATTCAGAAATTTGCAGGACTGACCTTTGTTCCAGCTGTCCCCCTAATATTTGCACTAATAGTTAGGGTTTCTATTTCACCAGCAGCTCAGCAAATTTTCATTTCACATCTTAACGTCAATGAAACTGGAAGCAGAGAGTGTCCTAAAATGTCACTGCTGCGTCAAATGAAGTTGCGACAGCTGGCTGGATTGTTTTTCAGCTCTGTTCGTAGAATGATATATACCGTCGTTAAATTTTCGTCTTTCTGTTATTGTTTGGTGTGCATCAAATTGTCCATCAAGACGAGTCAGTGAGAAACACAGAACGTTAAAGGTTAGAGCCCAAGCTCAATGAAAACAATTATCCTGAATGCATCTTGTCGGAGTGTAAATTTAGAAATTTAAGAGTCATTGTCAGTAACACCAGTTATGATCGTCAAAATCGCGGACACAGCTAAAAAATCGATTTCGCTCATACTTTCTATTTTGATAGACCCTTGTGCCAAAGTAAACAAAACAAGTTTATTTTGTTCTGATATTAATTTTTTTTTAGAGTAATTAAATAAATTAAGAACCGTTGAGTTCGGATCGAGCAAAATTTGTATATTCGAACCATCGAAATTCTGTCATGTCAGCGTAAGTCGAAAATTATCTGTGAATTTTCCTTTGCGATAACATTATAGTTAGGGCCTTGACCAATTCATTGGCGACATGAAAAGCAGATATTCTCTAGTGATAAATATTTTATGAATTTTTTCCCGAAGATACCTTGAGGGTGTTTTTTTTTTTTAATAGTCCCATGGTATCTTAAAATAACAGCCAAAAACGCTTGTCGGTACGCGAAGTAAAACCCAATAACTACATTGGAGATACAGTTTAAGGATAGACGTTCACAGATATACTTGCAATTTTTTGGGATACCTGTTAGTTTTGCGGTAACCCTTATCCGTTGACGTTTACTTTATTATATTCGAGATTTGCTGCAGCTGCCATTTTTTAAGTCAAAACTAAGCTGACCACCAAGAAACAATTGATCGCATGGCGAAAAGTACATTAGAAATTTAAATATTATGAGCTGAATGAAGACGAGACTTGGTTTCTGTCTGGTCTAAAGAATGAATTAAATTGGAGGTAGGCTGTAGCAGATTTTTGCTTGTGTACAAAAGAAGTTGCGTTTTGAAGACATGATTGATCATCGCGGTTGTGAAATTAAAGCATGAAAACAATTTAGGCCTGAACAGGATTCGAACCCATGACCTCTGCGATACCGGTGCAGTGCTCTACCAAATGAGCTATCAAGCCAACATGTTGTGAGTTAAGTTCGTTATGTACCCGTAGATGGTGAAGAATTCAAGTGAATATAATATATAGATTTAGCTAAGCCTAAAGGCGGAGCTCCTGGGCCGGGTTGTTCAAAGACCGATTAAGATAACCCAGGTTAAGCGAGAACTTTGATTTCGAATTTTTTAACTTTGCAGTGAGGTTTTCTGTATATTGTTTGGCCTTCTGTTTTGAGTTCGAATAATCTGAAAATACACAAAACAAAAGCAGGGAAAACCATTTGTATACAAGAACTATTTATACATTTGTTAACGTTAATCCTGGGTTAACGTTAACCGGCTTCCGAACAACCCGCCCCCGTTTACAAAAAGTAAATTTGACATGAACCCGCGATCCAATAGAAAACCAGCACTTGGTCAGCGGTCAACTTTAAAAAAAAAGGTGACCTCGATGAGCTCTAAACTTGAGCCGGCGATATGGTCACGTTATACTGCTCAGCGGATACCTTGTTTTGACAGGTGTCAATTTACCATAACATGGATGTCCAATATCAAAGAAGGTGACTATAAGGCTGTATGTTTCTGTCAACCTTTTAGCTGGAGTAAGGCCGCTATCTTGAGCGACTCCGTCTTCGTCGTCGCCGTCGTCGTCGTCGTGCGTACGCGCCGACGAACAATACTGCTAGCCATGATAACCATGAGAAAATCAATTCATGGGTTTCTTTTTCTTTCCTATTTGGGTATGGGGCTCCTCTTGGCGCTCTTCGGGCCACCGAAGCTACGCTATGAAAGATCATATATGAAAGATCTTTCTCTGCAGTTTAAATATATGTTCTTTCATTGCCCTAGAGATTGACATTAATCTCTAAACTGATCGTGACGTTGCTGGATACTTTCCCGGGCATTTCTAAACATTGCACTGAATACACTGGTTATATATAAAAAGTTATTGATATTTCAAATTGTATAAAGTGCGAAAGTAAGTGTGTGAGGGGAAAATTTCCGGACACTACAGGTGATAACAACGTACAAATGAACGACAGAAGCTTCCTGTCTTGGCTTCCCCCGGCACTCAGTCAAGAAACCATTTGAATCTTAACATGGAAAAATGTTCGCTAAAAATGAAAAACCTAGCAACCAGCAACCTCAAGAAAAAACAAATAAGTAAGGTGACCCCCCTCCCACACACAATAGAAGGCGTAATTCTTCAACAATAAAAGAAGGCGAAAAAAAAAAAAATAGGGACTCATAACCTGTTTTCCAGATCGAGTCCTATTAATGAAGCAAAAACAGTGAGCGATCAAGACAACTTCAGGAACAGCTGGCAAACAAATATATAATGAGCTCAGCAGAGAACAAAACACTAGGATGTTTTCTTGAATATCGAAGTTAGTCTCCAAAGAAAGGGACTGCAAATATATAAACCATTGCATATGCTGATTTTCTTCAGAACTAGGTTCAGACTACTTATTGTTGAAGATCATGGTTTGTTGTCTAGGAAAGCTTGCTGCGCCTGGGCAGGTCATGTGACACTGCCGAGTAAAACAAAGACAAAAAAAAAAAACAAAAAGGGTGCTTAATTTGTTTTACTAAACATTGACAAAGCTGGGAAAAAACCAATCTTACATAGAAATGGCTGAGGATTTGGAATCGACCATACTTTACCGTGCAATACTGTAGTGACGTTTTCACGCACTTTATTGCTTCCAAATCAAGAAAGTCGCTTAATAGTATTCATGTACTTTATTACTTGCTAATCATTAAGAAAATATATAGTTCACGAAATAACTACAGATGATGGATAAGAAATCGTCAAAAGAATGGTTAGATACCGGTCTATGAAGTTTATCAAACCTCACATTAAATCACACAAAACGTAGTATTGAAATAAATATTATTTACACGGTTTAAGACGGCTGAAAACGTCCCATGAATTTGAGAAAATTACAAATTGAGTTTGCAGAATAGCTACACAATGATGGCAAAGTCAATGTCCAAAGAAAGGTTTAAAGCCGTTCTGCAAAGTTTCAGTCTTTCAGCCATAGTTTACATTTAATCAAATAAAAAGCAGTTTTGAATATAGGTCTTTACGAGTTTTAGGTCGACTGAACCTCTCCACTGTACATAAGTATCTTCAGCTTAGTTTGATAAAAGTGTACGTTAATGTTAATCAGCGTATGATCATCGCACTCATAAAATAATAGTATAATAATTGACACACGTCCGTGGGACTGTCTTTGTTATGCTGTTGTGGAACTAATATAAGGGCGCTCGCACCCGCACCAATACTGCTGAGTTACCTAATTGAAAAACATCGATGTTTACGACTTCAGCACTGGAAACCACTCGAATGTTACACAACGCAAGCTTTCCGCGAGTTTTTTTGTTTGGTGAAAATTCAGACTCAAGTATCCCGAATTCGAGTTCGGAACATCCATTTTATGTCGCAATTGGACTGAACCAACCTTAAATTGCATTTAAAATCTTGAAAGAAGAATTTTGAATAACCC